CCTTATTTCGAGTTCGAGCAATCACTCACTCGGCCATTAAGCCTACGGGCTACATTACTTCGAGTTCAAATTACTCACTCGACTACTAAGCCTACAGACTATCTTATTTCGAGTTTGAGCAAGCAATCGCTTGGTTATAAAGGCTACAAGGCCCGAATTCGATCAAATTGCCTAAAGCCTTATGAGAACCTTCATAAGGCATGAATGAAACAAAATCTTCACAAGGCAGAGAATAAAACAGAGGCAAGTCGGGAAAAGAAAAGATCTATATATATATATATACAAGAGTGTTTACAACGTCCGAACATGACGCTACACAAAGGATCAAAATGGAAACTAAGGGCTAAGTTTCTTGGTTATCTCCGGGGGTGGTCTCTTCTCCATCGGGCTCCTCCCCGCTCTCGGACCCACTCTTGCTCCCATCATCATCACCACCATCATCATCATCATCATCATCATCATCATCGGAAGCCAAGGCTTTAGTATCGGCTTCAGCTCTTTAGCCATTTTTATCTCTTCGGTGAGATCGAAACCTCGAGCATGGATCTCCTCGAGGGTCTCCCTCCGAGATCGGCATTTAGCAAGTTCAACAACCCAATGTGCTCGAGTGTTAGCGGTCTCGGGTTGCCTCTCTTGTTTGTACCTGAGCAGCTTCAGCATCGGCCCGATAGACGGCCACGAATGCATCCGCATTGGCCTTTGCTTTTTCGGCGTCAGATTTGGCCTTGGCAAGTTCGGAGGCCAATCGAGCCTCGAGCTCCTCTATTTTTCTTGCTTGAATCGAGCTCTTCTCCTTCATACCTTGAAGTTGGTTTTCGGCCGATGATAATTGGGCTCGAGCGGTTTCTTTTTCTGCGGCAAGACGGTCCATACCATCTTTCCATCCCAAGGACTTGACCCTTATCATATCGACCTCCTCACGAAGCTTCCCAATCACCTCAAGCTTCTGCTGTAGCTGTGAGATCGAAATATTAGCCACCGTTCCAGGATCGAGCCCATGGGTTTTTAAGATTATTATTACCTGCTCGGTCAGGTCGGTCTGGTCTTGATGAGCCCTGGCCAACTCAGATCGGAGGTCCTTGATTTCTTCTTCCCTTTGCCAGAAGAGGAGTCTAAGGGCGTTCCTCTCCTCCGTGACCCGTCGGAGGTAGGCCTCGTACCGACGCAGCTCAGCTCGAGACCGGGAACATGCTTCTCGATGAACCGCTGCGGCCTACGTAAGAAAGAAGAAAAGAAGTTAGAAAAGAATAGCAAACGTAAAAGTGATAAATGGTAAAATGAAAGGCTATTTATAGATTGAGCAATGGCGGTTCAATATCAACGGCAGCCGACCACCGTCTGACACGCATTAAATGCCTTGGTAAACTGAACCGACGGGACAATTATCACGTACGTCATGGTCGGGCTCGATGCAAACGTCAGTGTACATCCAATCGAGCCATTGGGAAATCATATCGTTTCTCGCCACATCCTTCCCGAGAAACGAGGGGACTATATGTATACTGTCGAAACTGATTTCGGCCTTCGTACGACTTATCGGGATGGGAACATAATGGACCGAAGAAAGTCTTCATAATATCGAGATGGGATCCGAAGAAGGCACAAACGAGCTTCGAGTTTCAGGGACAGGTCAAATACCGAGCTCGAAGTCATTATCGAGCTCGGGTCCAAATCGAACTATGATGAGAAGTGGTGGAATCAAGCTTAAGGGCCAGAGGCCAACCAATACCGGCCCAATACGGGGCCCCGAGTCAACATCGAGCTCGAACCCACATCGAGCTCTAAACTTGGAAACCGACAGATACCGAGCCCGGTTAGGATCGAGCTCATAGACAAGAGCCGTTACAACCGCACTAAGGGAGAGAATCTCAGCGGGAATTAAGGAAAAACTGATTTATCATGGGTTCCCCACTATGTATTTTTAATTATATTTAAAGTAGGATCCCTCCACTATAAGAGTGATGGCTATATTTCTATAAAGCAATCAAGTTTGGCATACATTATAATTCAGATATCATACACTCCCATATTGAAGAATTATCCCTTTTTAGCTACATAGATTGATTCATCTTGCATAATCCATAAATCATCCTCTTTTCAACTTTGCTTATTTTTATCCTTTACACTCAATATTCGATATTTCTATTTACTATTATGATTTGTGTCAAATTATACCACATACCCTTAGAACTACGTACAAATTCAACTCTATCCGTTTTTCGGAAAAACAATGGTCCAACATTGTCAAGATAGAAATTAGAATGTTGTGGAAATGTGGATATTCAGACTAATGCGGATCATCCAAGATTTGTATAATTAGAAATGATTTCATATAATATAATAAAGGGTGCAATAAGGTTGGCAAGTGGGCCAGTCCAGGACCGGGACCGGCCCAGGACCTTGGCCCATGTGGGTAGTGGGCCTAAACGGGCTGAGCCGTTTAAGACCGGGACCGGGGGAGGTGGGCCTGGCAAGTGGGCCGGTCCTTAGCCTGAGGCCCGCGAGACCGAACCATTTGGGACCGGGACCGGACTGGTCCTAGCGGGCCTAAACGGTCCCAAACGGTCCCAACGGCCATAATTTTAAAAAAATAAATCTGCCCATTTAGGCATTTAAAATCTAGCCGTTTCCTCTGCCAAAATAGCCGTGTNCAAGAACTCCCCACCTTGCTCTTGGGGTGACTCGAACTCACAACATCTTGGTTGGAAGTGGAGGAGTATAGTATTATATATAGTATCGTATATATATAAGCTATATTCGATATATATATTATAACGCATTGCTTTGAATATCTCTTAACAATATTTTTGTCTTTAAATTTGAATTAAAAAATTTAGGTCACAATTCTATAATATAGTATTATAGTATAGTATCGTATACTGGAACACTTCAATATGAAGAATGCTAAGCCAGTCAGCACACCTCTTGCTGGTCATCTGAAGTTGAGCAAGAAGATGTGTCCTACAACAGTGGAGGAGAAAGGGAACATGGCTAGAGTTCCTTATTCTTCAACAGTCAGAAGTTTGATGTATGCAATGGTATGCACCAGACCTGATATTGCTCATGCAGTTGGTGTAGTTAGCAGATTACTTGAAAATCCTAGAAAGGAACATTGAGAAGCAGTCAAGTGGATACTCAGGTACCTAAGAGGTACTGTAGGAGATTGCTTGTATTTTGGAGGATCTGATCTAATCTTGAAGGGCTACATGGATGATGTGGCCGGTGATACTGATAATAGAAAATCCACTACTGGATATCTATTTACTTTTTGAGGGGGAGCTATATCATGGCAGTCTAAATTGCAGAAGTGTGTTGCACTTTCAACAACTGAAGCAGAGTACATTGCTGCTACAGAAGCTGGCAATGAGATGTTATGGCTCAAGCAGTTTTTTCAAGAGCTGGAATTGCATCAAAAGGAGTATGTCATATATTGTGACAGTCAAAGTACAATAGACTTGAGCAAGAACTCCATGTACCATGCAAGAACAAAGCATATAGATGTGAGATATCATTGGATTCGTGAACAGGTGGAGAACGAATCTTTACAGGTCAAAAAGACTTACACGAGTGAAAATCCTGATGATATGTTGACCAAGGTGGTACCAAGTGACAAGTTCGAGCTATGCAAAGAACTTGTCGGCATGCACTCAAATTAGAAGACAGTGCTACCTCCTCTAGATGAATGAGACTGGAGGGGGAGGTTGATGGGGTCCATCTCATTCAAAAGCCAAAGTAATAGGCATGTGCCTAAGAAAAATATTTGGCTGAGAATTTTTTTGGTTTCGTAGCCACTCATCTTGGGGTGGGCTTACTACTTAGAACTTTGTTGAATTTATTTGGTTTGGTAGCCAACTTTATTGAGTTGTCAACATTGAAGAAAAAGAAGGAAAAGTGTGTGCAAATTGTCAAATATAGTAGGCTTTAGAGAATGAGGCTTCGGCTATAAAAGGAGAGCTTCAGCTCTCATTTCTACACACCAACAGAGAGAGAAAGAAAGAGTGAGGTTTCACAGACAAGGTATAAGAAAATAGTCTGTGAGAAAAATAGAGAGTGAGCGATATTGTAGTGAGGTGGGAATATCAAAAGAGGGTTATTTCTTTTGAGTGTTGTAGTGGTCTTTGGAGTATTTTACTCGGACCTACAAAGTGTTAAATTCCTTGCTATAGTGATATCAGTTGCTCGTCTCAGGGCCGTGGTTTTTCCCTTATTCAAAAGGGTTTTTTACATAAAAATCTTGATGTCGTTGTCACTCATTTATTCTTGTTAATTACCGTATCTCGGTGCTACGTTATTATTCCGCTTTTATTACTGTGAATATTATTTCTGTAGGGGGTTTATTCCCAACACATATAAGTGATCACCTAGCTGAGATTAAGGCTTAGTTATACGCTTACATTTGGTTAGTGTTTGTCAAGAGTGTTTTTGCTCTGGTTACAAATTTGTATGTTCTTGTAGGGATAAGTGATATGTTGAGCATATCTACTGTTAGAGAAACATCAAATACCTTAAAAAACTAATTATTTAATATTGGAATGAAATCACCTGAATAGAGTGGAACAGATGCAGAAGATTATATAGTGGACCCCAGCTAATTCGGGATTGAAGTGCAGATGATTAATTGATATTGCGGTGGGACGCTGAAGTGTTGGCTGCTTGTCTGTCAAGAACGAGCAGCAGGATCGTCGATGTAATTCAAGTGGTTATGATTTATCTTATCTATTTATGCACAACACAAATAGCATTTGATGTTTGTTTCAGTGTTGACTAGCCTAAAGGTGGTGGACCTCATAACTTACACTTTGAACTGTCCGCTCAGCTATTCGTGATACTTAAGTTCTTCTACACCTTCTGAGCACATTTAGCCATGTTGGTGATTTTTTGACTTTGACATCATGCACCATGCCATTTTACCCAAGCAAATGAATATAAATGAATATAAGGTTATCTTGTATAAGTTTTCTCTGATAAATGCTTATGGTTGATGCTTTAATTTTCTAAAGGCCCGACCATCCTAATGTTGTATTCACAAACATGGAAGAAATCATGACTCTGCTCATAGAAGAAAGTGATGAAATCTCAATGGAGCTTCTTCAGCCCCTTCTTGATAGCGCCAGAAAGGAAAATAAGGCAATGAACCTCATCCTAGTAATCTTTTGTTAGTCATGTTTCTTTAGCGCTTTTCTTTATCTTCTATACTGTACAGATTTGTTCACCTATCTCGTCAAAATTGGGAGAGGAAGTCCTGAAAGAATGTGCCTCCACTCTTAGACCATATCTTATAGAAGCCCTCAAGTCAAGAAGCATGAATCTTGATGATTATGCTGAAATAGTTGCCTCAATATGCAATGAAATGCCTGAGGGAGAACAAATGGTGCGTCCTATTGACGACTATCCTTTTTATGCAACTGTTTTTTGCTTTTTCTTGTAGTTGTTGAATGAAACGATTATGATATGATCCTTTTGCTTAATAGTTATAGCATCAGTGTCACATCTTTATATTCATGCATTTATTTTTATTTACAAACGGCACGCGTATTATGACTCTTCTCCAGCTGCTGCAAAAGAGTATGTTTCAGACTATTCTAGCTGATATGATGATAGATATGACTAGTTGCCTGTTATGTCCTTACCATTTCAAAAGAAAAAAAAAGATTATTTTCCTGTTATGATGATAGATAAGAGTGTTGATCCTTAGTACTCTTTCTATAAAAGTCGCTCTGTCTTCTTTCTTGCCTCGTCTCCTGTCGCTTTGCCCCTTGATACCAACCATGTGGCTTAGTTCATAACACCTTAGAACCAAATTATAAGGTGAAATTTAGAATTTTTTTCCTAAAACCTGGTACTCTCTAATTGCATAACAAGGTTGCCACCGACAAATTGCACAGTCGATGGTAGCAAGATGCTGACTTGGAATTGATGTACAGTCAAACCTCTCTACAACAACCTCGGTTGTCCGAAGATTTTTGGATGTTATAGCGAAGTGCTGGATGTTATAGAGAACATATATTATAACATAACATAAAAATTGGTTCCGGAAAAGCTTGGCTTTTATAGTGAAGTGTTGTTATATATGGATGCTGTTATAAAGAGGTCTGACTGTAGTATGTTGCATTAGAAAGATATAAAAATCACCAAGGAGGATGTGACAAAGACATTCACTGTTTTCGTCTTTTCGACAAAACATACATTTTTTTGTCTTTTAGCTTTTTGCAATAGCGGAGGATAAATATACCTAAGGAAGGATATACAACTAGTAATAAACACACTGCCTCTTGACTGACTGGCTTTTCTAATGATCTGATTTTGAGATGTTTATAACACTTCTACATGTAGCTCACTGAAATAAACAGTTTCTCCAGATGTGCAATCCATCTGTCTCTCAAATCATGAGATATTTCAAACTGTCATAGAGAATATGGTTTTTTTTCTTCAAATAATGAAACTCTAATATTGACCTCTTGAGCTGCATTTTGAGACGTGAGCTGTTATAAGGATAGTTCTTTTTGTCTCAAAGTGTCGGGCACATTTTATATTAATAAGTTAGATACCTCCGTCACACTAAAAAAACAGCTTTTTTCTCTTAGAAGTTGGCAAGTTTAATCATGTTGTATGCCCTCAAGGCATCAAATATCTCTTATCTCATTATCCCAACACAGTTAATAAGCAGGGTCTTTTAGAGAAATATTTGTCCATATGTGGATTCTTGATAATTATCCTTATTGTAAGGATGCGGTGCTATGAGTTGAACAGTAAGAGCCAACCTTGCAATAAGCATGCTCAAGTAACATTATAAATATGCTGGTTTAACTGTAACGCCAGCACTTTCAAGAAAATGACCTCATGCGATGCAATATGTCCAAAACAGTATGAAAATGTCAATGAGACTAAACCCAATGCTTCTATAGTGCTTGATAAATATGTATTTACTACTTTTAATTATCAAAATATGCTATTGAATTACTACTGATTAAGAAAACGCTCCTTATAAGAAAAAAAAAGCTATTGGATTACTTTCCTTTTTGCTTATATTAGTTTTATGATCATACGGAAAATGATAATGTGACTGATGCTGTGTATCCTGTAAAAGTTGGTCCATCTGCTGCTGTTATATGAGACTCTTTTAAATATTAATGGTACCTCTTCGAAAACATTACAGCATCACAGTCAGATGGAGCAGCAAAAGAATACTGGCATTGGCAATGGTAGTCATGGTTGCCGGGTTAGGGCTAAGAAGAAAGAGAGCATGGCAAATAAGGAGGCTCATCTGGGTGTGTTGGTTCCAGAAGGAGATGTGTTGCAATCTCAAGATAAGAGAAATGGCTCTCTGCATTCAGTTCTCAAATTTGGGGATGAACATAAGGGCACAGCATGTAGCAAAAGAAAACCACGTCAGAACTCAAAGAAGAGTGAGTCCGTTCCAAAAGGTGATGTGGACACCACTTCTGCTCTTAACATTGTAAAAGGAGAAGGAAACCTTACTGATGCTGAGGAGCCATCAGTGCAACAAGTTGATGAAAAGAAACAGAAGAATGACAGAGCTACCATTGAAATTCATGATATAGAAGAAACAGGAGATGAGGTTGAAAGGAAAACTTCTTGGAAGTTGCTATCTCTTGATCTGTGCTTATAGTTTTTTTCAAGCACAAATGTGACAACCACTTTCCTTTTTTTTCCCTTTTTCCTTCACTCTTGTGGGTTTTACAGGCAATTAAACTATCGTTTGGGGATGAAAATCTCTCAAGCAAACTTGCCAAAACTAAGCGCCAGAAGAAGCTTGCCATGGGGAAGGATGAGGTACTAATATACCATGTTTTGAGCTAAACTGTATCCCTTGTTTATGTAACGTCCATATCTGCAATATTTGCAGATTTTGTTTGTATTCACGTAGTATTGTTGAAATGTAGCGGCTTGTTGCCAAAATCTGTGACTTCTTTGCTTTGTCAAAAGAATCCAATCATAGTAAAAATAAGTTATAAGCTGCTATACCCTCCTTGAAGTCGGAGCAAATACTATTCTTACCTCTTTTCAATATATTTTAAAGGACTGAAAGTAGTTTTGGTTTAGGGCCCTACTGCTTTCATTTTGTCTGTTGTTCTAGAATGTTTTCATGTCTGAAGAGCTTATGGTTCCTAATTGTTTCATTCAGGATTCTAAAAGGCGTCAAATCACCAAAAATTATGGAGAAGAAATGGTTGGTATCAGAATAAGAGTTTGGTGGCCATTGGACAAAGTGTAAGTTCTGCAAAATATAGTGTCAGGACTGTCATACTATTGTGAATTTGTGGTACTAATTACAGATCCACTCTCATCCCAGCACTTTTAATCAACTTGATTGCCTTCTGTTAAGTTTATTATCTATAAAGTTGACTTGCCTACTAGGCCGTCAGGCAAAAATTTGCTTAATTCCCTTATTTTAACATGTGTTGTTCTAGTACTATCACAGGCGTGTTCGTAACTTGTGTTAAAAAATACACATATGGTTCATCTTTTGTAATGGTTTTCTCTAGTTCTTTACTCCTTGATGCTATAAGCAGACCTTATACTTGCAGACAATCTCTGTGGAGATAGATTGCAATGATCAGCAGCTGATGGCTCCTGAATTTCGAGAGTAGCTTGTTAAGCTAATTAGCTGTTGTCGTCTTCTTCTTCTTCTTGTTCTTTTTCTGTCTTTTTTCTTTGATGTCTTTTTGGCTAGGCTAAGGAAAAAGTAGGGGAGACTGCAAGATGTCAATATTTAATTACTCTCAAGCATTCATATGTTTGTATCCACCATAAATCAGCTTCTTCTTCTTTTTTTAAAATTTTTTTCTTTCTCATTCTTCAATTTAAATTATCAGCCATCTCAATCATCACCATCCTCCATCTCATGTGGCTGATTATATTATTAAACCCATGTAAGTTCTTCTGCCCCGATCTGTGAACTGACTCGTAATTTCTTTCAAAACTTTCATCTTATTTCTATAATAGATTTTGTAATTATACTTTCCAAATGCTCATCCACTCACAGTTTCAGCAATGCCAACTTACCTTCAGAACTATCAACTAACAAAGTTCTATCTATAAATCAACCCATTGCCAGATCTTGTCTAACTGCTACAGCATTCTTCAATTTTATCGTCTTTATGGTTTCTGTTGCTTGAAAAAAGTTGGAGTCAATGGAAAATTGTCTAGGCAATATTCTTTCAAAAGAAATATGTATAGCCTTACATGTAGATCATTTCTTGATGTGTTTGGTAGCATGAAATGCTGTGGCTTACTAGCAATAGTTGCTGGTTGTATCCGGTGTATGGGTTACTAATTTTTGAGCATGTCTCATCTTTTGATTGATATAGCTTGGATTGATATCAATTATTGTGAATATAATTACCAGATAGACAAAGGTGGACCTGTTTCTGGAATATAGATGGGCAAAGAGAAATACTCCCTTTGACCACCTAAAAGAAAAACTGTTCCAACATTTATCTGCAGAGCGATAGGTTTTGATTACTGAGTTGAAAAAAAAAACAGACAATTGATGAATTGCTAGGACCAACACACTTAAAAGGGGATGTTGGTTATTCAGAAACAAAAACAGAAGAGAATGCAGCCATGGGAGTACTGAAGGAGGTAGATCATAGATGCCTCAGAAGGTCACTCCAACGGGCAGCAAGGAACACCATTTCCATGAATATGAAGAAGTTTCTTTTGAACCATTGGATAATTTCTTAGGTTGAAAAATACCAATTTCCAGTGTCTTTTTTCTAACTTATCAACGAAAAAAAAGATTATCAATTTAATCTGTAAATTCACTCGGAACATTTAGTAATGACATATTGCACATGATGACCAAGTCAATGATAGAAAGCAAACAGTTTAGTTAATCGTTCACTTGGCATTTTGACGTGTAGAGTATCAGAGCACATCTTCAATTCCTTCTACCAAATTGACTTTTATCATGCCTTGAATATGGAAAAAAGAGTCTAGCTAAAGTTTCTGATCTTAAGATTCCCTTTGCAGGTTCTATGAGGGTGCAATTTCTGAGTTTGATCCTGTGAAAAAGAGACACAAGGTAGTCATCTTATTATTAAGCTGTCTGCTGTTTTTGAATTCATCTCTTTCCAGTTTATTACTCTATACTTATCATTTTGCGATGTCCTGATATATGCACTTAATAATGATGACAAGAATCTATACACCCTCCCCAAGTCTAAAAAGTTATAAATCGGTAGTCTGTTTGAATCCATGATATCATTTATTTTTTTCTCAATTTAACTCGAGACAAACTCCAAATATTATATTTGTTATTGTTCTCCTACCATTGCCAAAATATCTTCAAGTCCAATTGACTCCCTCTTCCTTCTCAGTAATGTTGAGGCAACGCTATTTACCTAAAAATATCTGCTAGTCCAATTAACTCCACCTTCCTGCTGAGTGACGTAGAGGCAGAACTATTTACCGAACCAAATATAATCACTGCAATATACATACCTTTTACCTGCACGAAAGGGAAATATATCCAGGGAGTGTAGTGCTTTTAGCTAACTTGAACCATCTAGAAGTTTTTAGTTGACTGATGCTATTTGCTTGTTTTCCTCTTGAGATCTTATATTATGATGGTGAAGTGGAAACCTTGAATCTGAGCAAGGAACAGTGGGAGATGCTTGAAGACAATCCATCTGACAAGGTGCTTCCCCTATTTTATACTGTGTTATCTTAACATATTTTCAAGTTATTATTGGCATTACATCTCTTTGTGATATGATTCTTTTTGGAAGCACTATTTACAGAAGCATGAGACAAATCTTCAATGCAATGCTGTTTCATCTGTTCCGTAAGTATTGATTTCTAAATTTTCTTTGTTCCTTGGATGTATCCTATACACAGTCTTGACTGTTGTGTTTACTCCTACCTACTACTTTTATGTTAGAGATTGTATTTCACATCACCTTGATACGGCAGTATTATTATTGGGATATGATATGGTTATCCGTTGATGAACTTGAGCAGATCCATGAAGAAGAAAGTAAAAAGAACCTCCTCAACAAAAAGGGAAGCCTTAGTCTCTTCATCCAAAAGGTTGTTATTTTGTTGTTGTACACTTTTTCCTGTAGTATTGCTATCCGAACTGACTGTTCCGAGGGTTTGACAAGTAGGTTCTCTATCTTCAGGTCAAAAAGAAATGCCCAAAAGAGAGACACTGAATCCCCGGTTACTCCAATTTCAGATAAGATGAATGATGCTACTAATGTTGGTTGCGAAACAAGCAGTGGGAAAAAAGATCTTGTGGACATGGAAGATAACACGATCACACAGAAGCAGAGATCCGAGACTCTGATACTTGCCTTAGAGAGCGCATTGATGCTTGAAGACCATCCATCTGACAAGGTCCTTTCCCATCTGATACTCTGTCTCGTAACATATTGTTTAATTATAAATGGCATTACATATGTTTATGGTATGAATTTTTTGGATGCAATATGTGCAGAAGCATGAAACAGATATTCAAAGCAACGATGTTTCATCTGTTCCGTAAGTATTGATTTCTGAATTTCCTTGTAACCTCGGACATATTTTAGTTCTCTACATAGTCTTGACTGTCATCTGTCGTGTTTACTTCTGTCTACTACATTTATGATAGAGATTCTATTTATTATCACCTTAATATGCTACTACTATTATTGTGACATGATATTGTTAGGTTGATGAACTTGAGCAGATCGACGAAGCAGAAAGCAAAAAGAACTTCCTTAACAAAAAGGGAGCCTGGAATGTCTTCAGCCAAAAGGTTGTCTTTTGTTGTTATACACTTTTCGCTGCAGTATTGCTTTCTAATGTTCTGAGGTTTTTGATAAGTAGGTTTTCCATCTTCAGGTTTAGAAGAAATGTCCAAAAGAGTGACATCGAAACCCTGGATAATCCAATTCCAGATAAGATGAATGATGTTACTGATGTTGGTTGCGTAACGAGCAGTGGGCAAAAAGATCTTGCGTACATAGAAGATAACACTATCACGCAGAAGCAGAGATCCGAGACTTTCAAAGTTGCCTTAGAGAGCTCATTGACGCTTGAAGACCATCCATCTGACAAGGTCCTTTCCCATCTGATACTGTGTTATCTCTTAACATATTTTTATATTATCAATGGCATTATATATGTTTGTGATACGATTCTTTTGGATGCAATATGTGCAGAAGCATGAAACAGATATTCCAAGCAACAATGTTTCATCTGTTCCGTAAGTATTGATTTCTTAATTTCCTTGTAACCTCGGACATATCCTAGTTCTCTACATATTCTTGACTGTCATCTGTGATGTTTACTTCTGTCTACTACATTTATGGAGATTGTATTTATTATCACCTTAATATGCCACTACTATTGTTGTGACATGATATGGTTGGGTTGATGAACTTGAGCAGATCGACGAAGCAGAAAGCAAAAAGAACTTCCTCAACAAAAAGGGAACCTGGAATCTCTTCATCCAAAAGGTTGTTCTTTTGTTGTTATACACTTTTCCCTGCAGTATTGCTTTCAGAACTGAATGTTCTGAGGGTTTTGATAAGTAGGTTTTCTATCTTCAGGTTTAAAAGAAATGTCCAAAAGAGTGACATTGAAATCCTGGATAATCCTATTCCAGATACGATGAATGATGCTACTGATGTTGGTTGCGTAACGAGCAGTGGGAAAAAAGATCTTGCGGACATGGAAGATAGCACCATCACACAGAAGCAGAGATCCGAGACTTTCAAAGTTGCCTTAGAGAGCTCATTGACGCTTGAAGACCATCAAGCTGACGAGGTCCTTTCCCATTTGATATTGTGTCCTCTCTTAACATATTTTTAAATTATCAATGGCATTACATATGTTTGTGATATGATCCTTTTGGATGCAATATGTGCAGAAGCATGAGACAGATCTTCAAAGCAATGATGTTTCATCTGTTCTGTAAGTATTGATTTCTAATTTTCCTTGTAACCCCGGACATATCCTGGTTCTCTACATAGTCTGTTGTCTATCGTATTTATTTCTGCCTGCTACATTTATGATAGAGATTGTATTTTAATATCACCTTGATATGCCACTAATATTTTTGAGTATGGTTATTGGTTGATGAACTTGAGCAGATTGACGAATAAGAAAGCAAAAAGAACCTCCTCAACAAAAAGGGAACCTGGAGTCTCTTCATCCAGAAGGTTGGTCTTTTGTTGTTTTACACTTTTCCCTTTAGTAATGCTTCCGAACTGACTTTGAGCTTTTCTACCTTTAGGTCTGCAAGATATGCCCAAAAGAGTGACATTGAATCCCTGGATATTCCAAATCCAGATAAGATGAATGATGCTACTGATGTTGTTTGCGAAACGAGCAGTGGGCAAAAAGATCTTGTGCACAAGGAAGATAACATCATCACAGAAGCAGAGATCCAAGACTTCCAAACTGGCAACCGAGAGCTCATTAAAGCAAGTGCACTCACAACGTCATCAAAACTTTCCAATGGTGCCTTAGAGAGCTCATTGACGAAGGAAGCCAATTAAAGTATAAAGATGCTGTAAGTTGAGTTTGGGAAAAAGGTAGTAGTCGTTACCCGTTATTCATTCAAATTTGTAAGTTTTAAATCACATTTGAACCCAATAGTTCCTTTAACTTTAAAAGCTATGAGACCTTGAGTTTGTTATGATAGTTTGCCAGAATGGACAGCTGGAGGATTCCATGCTCGACCATATTCATGCAGATTTTAAAAAAAAAATTTATTTCTCTTTTGGTTGCGGTATGAAATCCGAGTTAACAAAGCAACTGCATTTGTGGTAGTCCGTTGATATGTCAGCAAGGATTCAAGTCCTTTGCTTGATCATAGATCTCAATAAAGTAAGGGAATGCGAATTCTATATCGGGTCGATTCTTCCATATAATAGGTGAGAGGAGCTGTGGGATTCTGTTTCTGAATGTATCAATGAAAATTGTGAAGCATTCCCAGAAGCTGAATGTTTCTGAATGTTGTGAAGCATTAGGAGGTAGTTGCGTCATGCCTTACTTCGTACCATTATGGGACTAGCCATGTGGGGTTTTTGTCTAAGATAGCTAGTGGCAATGTTGTGTCTTACTATTTCGCTTTTCAGTGCAGGTCCTATTTACTAGCTATCGCTTTTGCTTTGCATCTTTCTTCTAGATTTCATGGTGTTCCTATTTTTCTTATGATTGTTGTGGTGATATTAATATTGTCTCCCTTTGCTTTGCATTTTTCTTCTGGATTTCATAGTGTTCCTATTTTTTCTATGATTGCTGTTGTAATACTAATATTGTCTCCTTTTTGTCCTTGTCTTTTTGTTTTTTTGAGCCGAGGATCTTTCGGAAATAACCTCTGTACTCCATCGGGGTAGGGGTAAGGTCTGCGTACGTACTACCCTCCCCAGACCCTATTAGTGGGATTTTACTGGGTTGTTGTTGTTGTTATCCCAGAAGCTGAAGAAGTTACTGATAGGAGCAGTTATAGAGCAAGAGCTGAAGAAGTTACTTAGGATTAGTTACACATCTGTAGATTTGTTTCTCTATGGCTAAAGCTCATGCTCACAAAATCTATTATCGGGTAGCCGGCACCACAGCACTAGCATTTGCTACTGGATATGGTCGAACATGTACATAAGTTTTATTTAATTAGTCTTTGTTGGGCTTGTTATTGGGCTAAGATTTAAGGATTTTTTTTTTACTTTTAGCCCGCGTCAAAAACTATTTATATTCGGTAGTCGAAAAAGTATATAAAATTTGTATAATTTTTGTATATAACATACAAAATGTATATCTATACAAAATATATACAAAAAAATATACATTTTTGGTTATTATTTTGAGAGCGGCTATACAATGCCATTTTCCCAAGATTTAATTAGTCTTTGTTGGACTCGTTATCCCACCTCAAACTTGTAAGAACATCTAATAATTATCCTTCACTTTGTGAGATGCATCGGATGTAAACTGGGATGATATATTATGCAATGTTGCCCCAAACATCCAAAGAAAAAAAAAAGAATCACAAAAGGTATTTTTCAGCATTCACCAATTGCTTACCTAGTCCAGTTTCATTTGCCAGAACTCATGTATATATGTGTGTCAGTGTGTGCGCACACACACTCTTATATGTGTGTATAGATGTATGTATGTGTGTATATTGTCTGAAGATTTATTTTTGTGTGCGCGTGCGTGTATAACTAAGGTGATTTAGGTGAAAATGGTGTACCTATATCATATATGGAGTCCGGAACCTAAATGTGGTCTTTTTAGACTCAAATAACCGAAATGAGTGAAAAAAATAATGTGACCAAACTATATATAGCGCCCTTTTAAAGGGCGCTATACATGAATTTCATTAGACTGGCAGGTATAGCGCCTTTATAAACGACGCTATATATATTTTGTGGGCCCACCAATAACTCTTCTGCGCTTAACTGACATAACAGTAATTTAAATGGGTATAACACCCTTTAAAAGGGCGCTATACCTCAAAAAATTGGACCTCCTGGGTTAGGCATTGCCTTGTTTAAAGGCGTTAAGGATTTTACAAAATTCCATTCAGAAATATTCTCAACTCCTGTTAAATTTTTCTTCTTGCTAAATTCTCAAGCATTTTGTCATAATGTCTGAAGAGCGAAAAGTAAGGGTTTCATTATATTGGGAGGGGGGGGAAGGTGAGGTTGTGGTGGCGAATAACTCAGTGAGCTATAGTTTATCTCCACAGTGTCATGTTAAGTTACCACTTACAATGGAGTACGAGACCGGTATCGTTGTTGTGTAACAAATGAGTGTGAGTAAACGTTCGTTGAATCTTAAAGTAACCGAAAGATATCCTTATTCTATCACTCCGCAAGGGGTTGCTTGTTACGCTGAGTTTAACATCGAGGATGATGAAACTTTGAGTATTTTTTGAGGACTCCGGATGAATACCGGGAATTTCTTTTAATAAAAATGTTGGAAATGTACGTGAAGGTTGAAGACATTCGCAATAATGAGGCGGCGCAAAGCAGGGATAACCCTCAGTCATCGGGTAGTTATTCTGGAGCAGTTTTTGCCGAACAGGTTCTGGCTGAAAGAGTTTGGCCTGATTTAAACTTATCTCCACGGGCGAATGAGAAACGAGAAAATAATTTCTCTCATACTTTACATAATCCACAAGACGAGTGGTAAACTTCAATTTTCCTTTGTGTTACGATGTTTATTTTTGTTATATTGAATTTGTATTAACACTCATATATTCCACAGGGAATACCTGCCAGATATGAATTTTACAAGTTATGAACTCACGCCCAGTTGGAATATGCGTAGTTCTGGTGTGTTGGATCATGGTGGTCTATACGGGAGTCATCACCAACATGATAATGTCCATCATGGGATGTCAACACATTACGACTTGTAAGTGAAGTGATATAGCTATATGTAAAGTGTTTGACAATTTGAGTAGCTCATTATTTTGTTGTTTGTGCAGTGAAAACGAGCAAGTTGAACCTCCTGTCCTGACTCAATTATCCGAAGATGACATATTTAATCGGGATCTAGCGGATGCACAGAGTCAGAAAGAGAACCGTGATTATGACAACAATGCCGATGAGTCCGGAGATTACACACCCTTCCCTGATGAGGGTGGTGATGAGGATGAAGAGAATGCTGAACCTGATTTGACGAGGGAGAATGCTCCACCCCCGTTAGGCCAAGAGTGTACGAGTCCGAAGTGCCGTTTCATTCAAGGGAGATTCCTGATCACACCCAACTATACCTTGTAAAAAGGATTAAGCGGTCACTGCAAATATAATCCGGTTCAAGTTCGGAGTCGAATCCCACAGGGAACTAACCTATTTACTACAACTTTTAACAATGCTAATGATAAGCTCAAACAACTTCCGGATGCAAGATTTTTAATGGAATATAAGTGAAATTTATTTATCTAATAAAAAATAACAACAAAATCAGCAATAATCAAGAATAAGGTTGAATTCAAAGGTAAAAAGTAGAGGTGTACATGGATCGGGTTGGTTCGGTTTTTATCAAAACCAAACCAAACCAACTATATCGGTTTGGATTGGTTCAGTTTTGTCGGATTTTTTCGGGTTTTTCGGGTTTTTTGTTATTACATGAATATATATTTTTTCAATCTTACTTTATTAAATTTTTTATAAGTAAATATATGTTTAGTAAAAATTAACAAACATATGATCTATTAATATATTCTTATAGGAGAATTTTCTTAGTTACATATGATAGTTATTTTTAGTCGTCTGACAATAACTTTTCGTTGATGTACACTTTCAAGGTTAACTGAATTTAATAATTAAACATAAAAATCAATATGATGCCTATATAATGATATGTTCTATTTAATTTTAAATTATCAAAATACCACTTCAAATTCAAAAAAGATATAAGAATTTAATAGATCTAGACATATGGATATGGAAGAACAAAGAGATTGACGCATTTCACTAACACTTGATAAGAAAGTGATCATACAACCCATTATTTAATAGATCTAGCCATTGTTTAAAGAAAATTCTATAAAAAGTTTTAAAAGTATATATAAAAATTATATATTTATATGTCGGTTTGGTTCGATTTTTTTTTTTACTCAATACCAAACCTAATCAGATTTTTTAATCGGTTTGGTTTGACTTTTCGGTTTGGTGTAGTTTCCCGGTTCGGTTTGTACACCCCTAGTTAAAAGGATCTAGGGCTATTGATTTCTCCAATTGCCGGACTAATTTCTGACACGTTAGCTATAATCTCACCGCAATACTCTATGAGGATTATGAGTTGCGGGCTATCGTAATTATCTCTCGATCAATTACGATAATTTACTAGAAGCATTCTCTCGAACTACTCTATTTAACAATTTATGCAACTCAGAATTATCCCACCAAAGTTTCGTTATCTCTAACCACACTTTTAAATTCAAGTAATTAATCTCTTAACTTACCCGAAAGTGGTGTTGTTCAACAACAATCTAACCAGGTGTTCTTTCTCAAGCAACACAAGGTAACTAGACACGATTAATCAAGGGCCCTTTCAATTAATCACAACACAACACATAGTTGAACAATCATAGAATAAGAATGACTCAATTATATCTAAACATAGTCAAAACTTCCATCCAATAATTGGTTCCATCAACCCTAGATGATGGGTTTAGCTACTCATACTAATGGATAAAAATTCACTATAATAATTCATAATCAACAATGAAAGTAAGAAGAAGAAGATGAAAACTCTTAGGAAATTCTCTGTCTTCTCTCCCTTGTTTTTGCCTCCAAAATCTCCTAAAAATAACTCATTTTCTCTTCTGGGCGAATTAGGCTTCATATAGGTTTAGGTTAGTTGCCTTAAAAATTACATAATTGCCCCTAAGTTGTTGGCCTCCATCCGCGGCCGCGGATTTCACCGCGGATCCGGCCGCGGATTTTAGCTAGTGTTCTGCTTCCAGTGCGCGGTCCAATTCGCGGTCAACTCCGCGGCCGCACACCTAGAGGGGACCTCCCCGCTTGCTTTTCTCGCTCCTTTTCGACCGGGCTAACCTTCGATTGGCCTTTCACACTCCATATTGACTCCAAAAATACTCTTTAGCTTCCTCCTAGCTCGGAGTGGCTCCTGCAATGCATAAAATTCTTAATTAGAGCATTTTGTTATCTTTTAGCATTCAAATATCAATAAAGTGCGGCTAATTTAGAGTATAGATAGTGTCTAAATTACATAAATATAGCCTACTATCAACACCCCATACTTAAATCATTGCTCGTCCCCGAATAATCAAACCACACTCTACAGAGGCCTAACTTCACTGAGCGACTTCCCTAACTCGTCACACCAAGAATATTTTACATAGTTTGAGTATGAATTAGTGTAACATCTACACCTCAAGAGTAGACTCCCGCGAGCCATGCAATATTCCTAACCAGCTTAATTACTCTATTCAGAGGTCCAGACTTACCACTCCTTCATGAATCAAGTGCCTGCTCACTACAAAAGAGACTCACTCCACAATCAATAAAATTCACGCATACTGAGGAACTTCAAAATAAACAGAATTCACTCACCCTCAG